TACAGGGCGCTCATATTATAAGGTAAGGTTATAAAAACCATCTTTTAAGATCATTTTAGTGAAAGTTTCATGCTTCAAGGCGTACCATTCACTGCTCAAATACTAAAAAACCTGCTTCCATTGAAGATATAAAGGGCGCTCATATTATAAGGTAAGGTTATAAAACCACCTTTTAAGATCATTTTAGTGAAAGTTTCATGTTCCTATCTCATAGAATTTAAGAACAATGATGAATAAATCATTTTCGAGCAAAATTTAAATGGCCGGCTGAATATATTACCGCAGGAGACGCAGCCGCGGAATTTAAATTACCGTGTCAAAGGGTTAATTACATACATCCTGAGATATCTTATGAATTATCATCCCCTTCCCCAAAGTCCAGAAACAATAACTGTATCCACACTGGTAGCCATCTGCACTTGCGTTTTAACTCTCGTGTCTTTACACTGCAGCAATTGTTGCAAATGATACGTGCTGTCAAGTTCATCTATACAACTTTGCAGTTATGGTAATTGTGGCCATGCTATCCCACCACATATTACTTTATTATAATCTCATGATAATTACATATGCCTAATATGAGTTTCAATCAGAAATAATTGTGATGGGAATGCTATGCTTTGTGCGTAAGATGGCCCATGCTCTTTTTAAACTTAAAGGATCACCTTATATGCTTATATATGGTACTTGCCAACAGGCTCAATGCTACTGATGTGGTCGATGAAGTCCCACTTGCCCAGGTACAATGTAATCTCATCACTGGCAGAGCATTTCTTCAACACCACACTGACAGACACTGCACCTTGTTCACTGACACTTCTGTATACTGTCACACCTCAGTCGCTTCAGACGCCTGTCAGCTAACACGATCATGCTAATGTAACTGAGGGCAGGGACACCAAAAGATCTTAAAATAACAGGGTGTGGAGACACATGACATTGTGAGACATTGAGGTTCCCATAGTTTCTAGATAATCAGCTCACAGGTGGCAGTGAGGTTGTCAGCAAGTGCCGGCCGCCCTTCACCCTCAGGAAGATTCCTGGTACTCATTTCTATTAGAGGCTGACTCAACCGCATGGCCATACTGTGGCTGGAAGGATTAAGTCAATGGTCAGTAACCTCATCATGAATTGAACCTGTAGCATAGTGCCCCAAATGCTGTATTCTATCCTTTTACATCTAACACTGAAAATCTGTTAAAAATAACATTATTTTCTGTGAATTTCTCCATTTCTCTCCTGTTTTTAACTGAAATGATAGTCCTGTTAACATGAGAGAAAGGGGGGAAAAAAGGGGTAAAATGTATAAATGCATGCAAGGGACAATGACTGAATAAATTTTATTGTAAAATCTCAAAATAAAGAGACAAGTTTGAGATGAAAGGATTAAGTGGAAGATAATATTAAAGTGGATTTTAGAGAAATCATTGCCGAGTTCCACTTTTGTGACCAAAGTTAAGTACAGGCTTAAATCACTTGATTTCTCTAAGTTTGTCAAACCTTGCAGCATTACTGTCTATACTAGACCATTAATTGCTGTATATACATATGTCTTTTAAGAGTGAGGGATGTTAGTAAATCAGAGACTAACTCCAAAATAGTGGAAGCTGAAGGATTTCTCGGGAGCTGCTGGGTATACAGCCCTCTTCTCCCTTAAAGTTCTTTCAGATTTTTCAATTTCAATGGGTTCCATATTCAGGCATAGATGGTTGCAGTGCATGATGGCTATATATTCTGTTTTTTTGGTTTCTACAGAGTGTTTGGCAATAGCTGATTCTTGTTGTCCCTTAAGATATTTCAAGCCCTTGTACTGACTGTATGTGCCCAGCTAAGTAACAAAGGTTTGTACCATGGAACTGATCACACACTGTAGCTGTGTTTCTGCAACACCTCTGCCAGCAATATTGTGAGTTTGTGTGCTGCTCTGAACCTTCCAGAGGGATCCCTGGGTTCCGAGCACTCCCTCACCAATTCCACTATATGGGCATGAGCAGGTGGTGTGTCATGAAGCAGCCCACCAGGAATCATGTCCGGAGCAGCCAGTGGGCCAAGCAAGTGCTACAATACACACATCAGCATCAGAAAAATAGAACAAACCCATCTTCTGATCGAAGAAAGTCTTCTGGGTTTTGGCGCCGTGTATTATTCGTTTTGGCCGACGTTTCGGAGGAACGTATCGCCTCCATCTTCAGAGCAGGTGAATGGCTATGCTACTGCTCTCTGCATTCACAAGCCATTCACCTGCTCTGAAGATGGAGGCAATACGTTCCTCCGAAACGTCGGCCAAAACGAATAATACACGGTGCCAAAACCCAGAAGACGACTTTCTTCACAGTCATTGCTGTGAAAACCTCAAAACTTACATCTTCTGATCGTTTAACTTCATTGTGTACGAATTTATGTTCCTTCCATTTGTACATGGACAAACTGAACTGTCACTTACAGTGCAGAGTGTCATAAAATAAATTGTATTCATTACATTTTTAACCTTTCAAGACCTAAAATTCATCTAAAATATTTAGTTCCTACCTCACAGAAAGCATAAAGCATCTCCATTACCAATGATGTTTAAGCGAATAGCTGCAGCTATATCACATCATATGAAACCCGTAAATACGCACAGGACAAACTGTAGAGTTTTTACTGTCAAAGAAGGAGGTACATAGAGTATATACAGTATACTTTTTTTAAAGAGCTAAGGTGGAAAGTCCAAATAAGAACTAGATGAACAATGAATTAAGTATATATTATATAAGTAGCTTAATTTGCATTCCTTTAGAATTATGATTATTTTCATGTGTTTCAACTGTCTTGATTTTGAAATGAGGGAGAGAGTCATATATTTGGTGTCAGAAACATTTGTGAAGACAAAGAGGGGTGAGAGGTGTCAAGATAATGGGCACATAAATTTATTCATGGATATGTGTATCCCCCCCTCGTTGGTGTCTCCACCTTATCGTGGTGAGGGGGTTTGAGTATGCCAAGGACCCTGAGAGCTATACCAGCGGTAGCGTAGCTACTGGCAGGGCCTCCCTTGCTGGACAGGTCAAAGGGTAGGCATCAGACGAAGAGAGACACCAAAAACTGATGCCGGAAGCAGCGTCATCAGTAGCGACTTGAAGCACAGAGCAAATGATGCTCGAGATGGTTCAAGTTCGTATAGCAGCAGGTGTGACTAGAGTGGTTTGAACGGCTGCTGTACTGCGATGTGGAAAGCAAATGGAAAAACTACCACATTATCACTTTTCCTGGATAGTCTCTTTCCAAAAACAGA